TGTAAGTATTATAGGCACAAATAAAGTTAAAAGTATGTGCAGTTAAATGTTGCCTCTGTGTTTTACTATTGTGATGTTTCTGGGTTAATATTACTGCAGCATTAAAGAGGACATATTATGTTCATTTCCAGGTTGACATGTCTCCATGCTTTAATGTTCAAAAAGCTCTTTATTGGGGGGGGGAGCACTTGTTGCTAATGTCTAGCAGCATGGTCGGCCACGTGACGGCAGAGAAATGTCAAGCTGGCAGTTTGAGGACCTCAACACGATGTTAAAATACTACCCTAAAAGCAAATGTCCTATATTTCAAACCTTACTTAAGTTAAAGTAAACGTATATAAGTATTACAGGCACAAATAAAGTCAAAAGTATTCTATTGAATGGACTCTATACAAGGCTCAAAACAAAGACATTTGACTGGAACAATAGCTAATAGATACATGTATCTTCAAGAATATAATAAAAACCAGAGCCCAGTCTGCTCTGATTGGTTAGCTGGCCGGCTCTGTTGTGATTGGTCAACCGCTTAGAGATGTCCCGCCCCTCAGCCTATCATGTGTTGGAGCGCCAGCCAATAGAAGCGTGAGTGTTCCATAATGATGTATGTTAGGGAAGTAAACTAAGGAGTCCAATGGAGAGCGTTTCAAATGTATTGTACAACTTACCATGAGCACTGGTTGTTTCATATTTTCCTCCATTTCGCTGTTGTGTATGCACGGCCTCCACTTCTTGTCCAAATTAAGATTCATTTAAACATTTAAACCAAAGTGAAAGTGCCACCTTTTTTGCTCACTATTCATTCTGAGTGCAACTTTAGTTAATTTGCCCCAACATGGCCGCACAAGAGGATATAATAGTTTGACTGCAACTTCACAGCAGCAACACAACACCAGTGTATTACTTGTGTTTGTATATTCTTTGGACAGGATGACATAAATGAGAAAATGTTTCCTCTAGTGAAATGGTTTAACTCCACTTTTCTAAACAAGACAAGCCCTCCAGGTCGAGTTTCCCACCTTGTTAAGTGTGCAACAAATCGAACACGACCACCATGGGAGTGGGGTCAATCAGGGGAAATTCAAAATGAGTAATTCCTTGTTAAATATCAGAATGAGTCTGCAGCCGGTTGTGATGAAATCGCGGGGTATTTTCAGTGTTTTCCTCATGTTGTTGTTGGCAGTGTTCACTGAGGTGAGAACAGCTGAGGTTTGATGTTCCTGCTTGCTGTGTGTTTGCTGTTCAAGACGTGTTTCCTCCAGCCCCATCCTGCACTTCAGAGTCAGGGAAGAGGAGGAGGAGGAGGAGGAGGTGAGCTTTGGGCAAGTGACAGCTGAACAAACAGAGGGAACAGAGAGAGAGAACGGGGAACAGGAAGGGGGGAGAAACCCAGAGTTTTTCTCTCCGATTGTGCCACGTAATTTGAACAAACCCATTAATCTCGGGCCACTGGCTCTTCGGGCCTTCTGGGTGTTGAGTTTCATTGACAGATGAAAAGAAATGAGCTGGCTCGGCTGGAATCTGAGGACGACCTCACGCCAAAGATGAACCGGCCAAAGGGAGAGAGAGAGAGGGGGCGGAGGTCTGGATCTGGTTTAGATTGGCCGTCTGATTGGCTGGCAGACTTCAAACGGAGCAGCCGACCGACCAGCGCTTTAAACCCATCTGGGAGTTTTTGTTGTTTGTGTAAAGGAATGTGAAAGTGAAAAATGTCGGGGGAGTCTTCATTCCTTTTCAATAAAGAATAATAATACTCAAATTAAGGCATGTTGAGCTTTGTAGTGGGAGCTCTCAGACCCCTTTAAGGGCCCCTGGTGATTCACAAACTGAGTTAAAAAAACATGTAAGTTCACCTCAAGCTACAAGGTTGATTAAACAACCTTCTTCTCAAAATGCTGAGATTTCTACTCCCCCATTCATACATTATTGTGTTCTACTGTTGTACGGTTTGTACTTTATCTCACAGCTGTAGTTTTGTGACTGTAGAAACCTGTTTTACATTTAAGGTTTGCCCACCTGTTACAAATAAAAACAGCTAAAGTCAGACATAGTGAAACTATATTTGAAAAGTTTTTAAAGTTTGGAGAAATGTAATTCTTCACTTTGGCAGGATCTACCATTACTTATCAGTTAGTTTTTCTTTTACTGAAGGATTAGGAGTACATGTTTTACTGCTATTAAAAAACCTAGGCATTAACTGAGGAGATTATGTGGTGTTGAACAGGATGCCTGAGAGTTTATGTTGGGTTTAGAGAGAGTCAGTTACAACGGAGAGTAAAGAGGAATTTCATCCATTTCAAATAAACACGTTACATAATGAAAAGCATGCTGAGCTCATAGTCTGTTGACCTAGACTGATTTAATCTCACTGGCTCAGCAAGAGACCAAAACTCGTAAAAGCCCATAAAAAAAAGTATGTTTTGGATGTTTAAAGGCTGTTTTTACCATTTTATTTATTGAGCAGTTTGACATATTTTCTTAAAGTCTAAAATTAAAGGTTATTTTCAAGTATGTTTTTGTTGTTAGGTGAAAAAGTGTCCATGTTATGGTGGAAAAAGCCAGCGTGTCGTGTCCTCTCATAAAGTGCTTGTTTTCTTTTTACTACAGTATAAAACCCAAAGGTAATGAGTTAATAACTACATCAAACAGAGAAAAAAGGTAAAATAATCAGAAATCAGAAGCTGGAACCAATCAATATTTAAAGTTTTTGCTTGAAATCTGCCAAAATTGTTAGGATGTGTTCATATTAAAAAACTAAAAAGATATGGAGAACATATTTGTGTTGCAAAAACTGTTACTGTCTCTAATGAGTCACTAAAACAGTCAAAAATATTGAAAAGTTCGTTTTGAAATGCATCAAGAAATGAGTTAGCTGGATATTTGAAACCTGAATCTGCCCGTGAACATTTTGAGTTTGTGTGCGTTGTTGTTAAGCCATTGCGTCATCAACTAAAGCGTCAGATTAAGGTGGAAAATGCCAATGTGTCTTCTTATAAAGTGCTTGTTTTCTTTTCTACCAACCAAAACCTAAAGGATATTGAGTTGATAATAATATGAAACAATTGGTAAATCCTCATAAGTCAGAGGCTGGAATCAAACTATATTTGACAGTGTTAAAGTGTAAAACTGTTGGCGTCTGGTGCAAAGAATCTTGTCTCTGAGATTGATATTTTTTTTGTACATGGTCCTTGACAACTAAACAAATAAACTAAACTAACTAAAAGTTTACTCCAGCTAACTTTGTGCAACTTTAAAGTTTTCAAAAATGATTAAAAAGTTAGTTTTTCAGCTTTAAATGCACCATGAGATGCGTCAGGTCTGAAACCTGAATCTGCCAGTGCTCAGATAGAGTTTGCAGCCAGAGAGCCAGGAAAGGGTTAACGTTTTCTCCTGGCTGCAGCTCTGAATGGTTTCTGAAAGCGGCGGGGGCCCCGGCAAAAACACACACAGACCCCCATTCATCCGCTCTGTGTGATCAACCTTGAACAGTGGAAGGCGTGTTATTGCAGCAGAGAGGGGGAGGAGACAGAAAGAGAGAGGAAGAAGGGAGGGAGGGGGGGGTTAGACGGTGACTCAGGAATTCCACCGAGGATCACGTGACCCCTGAGCAAGGCATTTATATCCTCCCTCTACTTTGAGGCAGGGGCCCCTCTGTACTGCTTCTCCCTTCAAGTTATTTTTAAAGTCTAAACCAGACGAATGTGACGCAGAGTGAATATCCACAAGTGAAGAATCACACTATGTAGGATATTCACTTAAAAATAGCTCAGAAATAAGCAACATTTGGATAAAAGAAAGACAAAATAAACTTAGCTAAATCCTCTGACAGAAGCCATTTTGACAAAACCAGACGAATGTGACGTAGAGAGAATATCCACAAGTGAAAGAATCACACTATGAGGAATATTGACTTAAAAATTGCTCAAAAATAAGCCAAATATGCACCGTTTGGATAAAATAAGACAAAATAAACTTGGCCAAATCCTCTCTGACAGAAGCCATTTTGTCAAAACCAGCCGAATGTGAAGGATGGAGAATATCCACAAGTGAAAGAACCACACTATGTAGAATAAAAAAATAAGACAAATATGCACCGTTTGGATCAAATAAGACAAAATAAACGTAGCTAAATCCTCTGACCGAAGCCATTTTGTCAAAACCAGCCGAATGTGACGGAGAGAGAATATCCACAAGTGAAAGAACCACAATATGTAGAGTGGCTAAAATAAGCCAAATATGTGCCATTTGGATAAGAAAGAAAGACAAAATAAACAACATTTAAGCTAAATCCTCTCTGACAGGAGCTATTTTGTCAGATGAAGCAGCTTTGTTGTGATGCTGGAGCCCCTGGGGGCCCAACACAGAGCCCAGAGGCGCCTCCGTCATCCAGACAGTGTGACAGAGCGAGTTAAGTGGAAAAAGCAGTGAAGAACCCATCGTTACTGTCCCAGCGGACCGCCACTCATGACCTCACATCTCCTGTATGCTTTCACTGGAAGCAGGGCGTGGGATCCGTCAACAACACAGACGCTGCCAAGATTTGTTCTTAAAAAAAATGAAAACAGGCCTGATGAGCTGTCAGGTTGATTCTGTGCCAAGAGGGATTGTTAGTCAGCAACGTGAGGAGACAATCCAGAAGCAACATATTGTCAGAAGCGTTTTGACGCATCAACAAACGCCTGAGTATTTCCACGGCAGACTATTTTTAGCCGCTTGTTATCTCGCAGCTCTTGCAGGACACGAAGCAACGAGCGACCTCGGCCCGCCTACGTGTGATTTACTGTACGAAACGTTTATGCAACACACTTCTACCCCGGCCTTCACCCCCTCCTCCTCCTCCCTCTATCTCCCTCCTTGACTTTTCTTCCACCCACTCTTCCCTGGAAGCCGGTTTGTTCCTGTTGGAAGGTATTGCATCATGGCTGAATCACAACCATGACTCTCCAACCAACCCCTGGCTCACTGATTATGGAAAATAAGCAAAACCACAGAGACACTAGAGGTATTATTACAAGGTCTGAAACTGTATTTGGCAAGTTCTTTTCTTAAACAAGTGCATACATGTACAGCTAGAAGCATTTTTTCTTTGTTTTTTTTTTATTATTTTTTTGCCAAGTGCTCAGATTAGTCACATTCTATGTTGGACAGGACTGTCTCCAGACTTAAAGTACACCAACGACTGAAAAGAAACAAGTGTGATGGGGCGGGGAAGAGCCTGTTATGAAGAGTACATACCTTTTCATCTTCAAAAATATAGAAACACAATGTATTGAAAAAGAAAAAAAAAAATTATACAGCCATGTTAACGAAGTATAACACTTCCCTTGTGTCCAATATGTACATGTCCGTCTCTCTGGGGCCTGCTGGATGATTTATATTATCGGGGCGTGTGTGTGTTACTGTATGTCCTGCAGTCGGATTACAAAAGGGGAAAAAAGAAATCCAGAAAAACAACTGGTGAACAATTTCAAGGGTCCCGCTCCTTTTTTACTTTTATGTCCCCGGCCAAGATGGTGGCTATTTCCCCCTGCATGAAGGCCCAGGGCACGTTGGAGCCGACCAGCGGGCACCTCTCTCCGCTCGGACAGTACACCTCCCCGGTGGCGCCCTGCTGCTTGATGCTCTCCCGGGAACACGGGAAGCAGAACTTGTGCGAGGGGATCGACGGGCACTGGACGAAGTGAGTGTCCTCGAGCCGCTCGTGGCACAGAGTGCAGCAGAGCGGCACGCTGCCCGGCGGCACAGAAGAGTCTGGGGCGCTCTGCATGGGGTCCAGAGCGGAGGGGACGGCGCTCACTGACCCCTCCCTCTGTGCCAACCTCCTCTGAGAGGCGGAGGAGGGCGACAGGGGGCTGCCGCTGTTCCGCCGCGCCCCCGCTGTGGTGGTGGAGTGAACCTGGTTTCCGTCTTTCGGTGATCCCGTGTTTCCCGCGTTATCCGTGGCGAGGATAAGTGCCGCCATCGGGGACTGGCCGTTTTGGGCTGTGGCGACTTCTGGGGGCGTGGTGCGGGAGTGGGAGTGAGGGGAGATGGTGGAGGGGGGAGCGGAGGAGAAACCTGGATGGGCGGCTGGGGGCATTTTTAGGATCTCAGAGGGCGAGGGGTGCCACTGCTGGCCGTCACCACCGTTCATTTTGGGGGCACTGCCTTCACCGTCTGGCTCTGGGGACGCTTTCCTCTTCATGCTGCGAGGGTGCTTTCCCCTGTCTGAGGAAGAGGAAGAGGAAGAGGAAGAGGGTTAACACATTTTTTTATTATACACGTTGCATTGTTGGAGGAGCTCAGGTCAGAAGAATTTCATTGCCATTTCTACACTGTAGCTTTGTGCATATGACAATAAAACCTTTGAATCTTGAATCTAACACAACCACACTACACACAAACACTCCAGCATGCTGCTCTGTGAATAATGAAACACAGGACATTTCTCTCCACACACACACACACACACTGAATAAAGCTTTGTTTATGTTGCTGCTGTTGTTCTTTGCCAAACCTCCTCGTGCACAGAGGTGAACGAGGCCATTTCAGCAGCGTGGCATTACCCAGCATGTCAGCAGCATGCGTACAATGTGCTGACACATAATACCAGGGCTATTAGGTTCCTGTTTTTAAAGGAGCATGCCAATTTAACATATCCCACTGCTGGGAAGAAGGAAAAAACACAGAAATAGTCCTATAGCTGCAGGGGCATAAAGTAGTTAAGTACATTTACTCAAGTCCTGTACTTAACACTTTGAGATACTTTTCTTTACTAGAGTATTTTAACGTTTTGCTCATTTTTACTTTTACCACACTATAGCCAAATACTACATTATTTAATACCTTTAGTTACTATGCAGATTTAGATTAATGAGGTGAAACATAATCAACTCTTTCAAGACTTTAGTTACACCTGGAGTAAAAAAATCACAAGCTACCTGCAGTATACAGAGTCATTAAAACTAGCTGCACCTTTACCAGCTTTGATAAATACATTAATGATAATCAAAATATCATATAGCCTATATTATTCTGAAATGGTCCAAATCTGCATAATGACTTATTTTACTTTTGGTACTTTTACTATATGTTGATGATAATACTTTTCAAATTTTACAAGAGTAACATTTTGATTGCAGGACTTTTACTTGTAGCAGAGTATTCCTACACTATGGTACTTCTACTTTTACTTAAGTACAGTATCTGAGTACTTCTCCCACCTCTCCCCACTGCTGTATCCAGGAAAGAAAACCCAGGAATAGTTCCTATACCTGTTTTTGAGGAAGTGGCACTGGTCTCATATCCCATCACCCTCTGCATGGCGGCGTGGTCCTTCTTAAACCTGCTGTCGAAAGTGTGCAGCGCCATCAGGTCCCTCACTGTTTTGCCTTTGCCTATCCACTCCTTGTGGCTGTCAGACATGTCCTGCAGACTATCCGGCCTGTGTTTCATCTCCTTCTGCTCCCCAGGCGCGGCCAGCACCCCGGCCAGACCCATCTGAGGGCGGCCGTTCAGCGGATGAATGGTCGGTATACCGCCGTTCACCAAAGGCACCAGGTTGGGAGGAACCGTGCTAGTCCTGCGCGGGTTTGGGCTCTGTCGGTTCAGCTCTGGAGGCTCGTCTGGTTTTGGAAACCCATTCGGTAAAGGGAGGCCGTTTGCTTGCCTTCCTCCACCCTGGTACTCCGGTCCGAGGCGCGGCGGCCGGTCGGACAGCGGGTATCGGTCCAGCGGCTGCGGGGGACGCGAACCCGGGTCTCCTGGTCCTCCTGCAGCCTGGTGGTTCATCTTTTCGTGTTGTTGTTGGTGGTGGTGCTGCTGCTGCTGGTGGTGGTTCTTCCCCGGTCCAGGAGATCTACCGTCCTGGAAACCGTGCGCTCTTTTCAGCTGCCGCGCCGTCTCGATCACAAACTCAATCCGGTCTGCGCCCTCGTAGTTGACGCATCCGCGGCACACGGCCTCGGTAAAATCCCAGATCATGGCCCATGGCATGCGGGGTAAATCACACAGATAGCAGGACTGCCTTCTGGAGGCAGCGACCGCCGCGGAGGACATGCTGTAAAAATCGGATGCAAAACTCTCCAAAATGTCGGTCTGTTTGAAGAAATAATCACCAAATAAAAATTAAAAAATGTTTTATTTCCCTCCTTTACAGATCAGCAGTCACACCTTCATGGCAGTAGTTGTGTCCTTCGCCTCCGCGCGCCTCCGTCTGAAGCTCGTGCTTACAATTCAGCTCGAGCTCTCTCAATGTAGGGCCGTGACGTCAGCGCCGACACTCTCGGGCTCCAGGTTCTATTTACTGGATTTTTCTTCGAAGACCCCTGAGGGCGCATGCGCACCGTTTCTCTCTATCTTTATCCGGAGAGCTTTACACACAGAGAGAGAGAGAGAAAAGTGTGTAAGAAGAGGTATCACTCTGTGCTGGTTTATACTGAAACAAAACTGAACACAGAAATGTCCTGTATCAGGTTTGTTGTCAAGTATGTTTCACAAACACACATTGCTTTTATAAAAGTAGTATTTGTTGCTCCTTTCTGTGTCTTTGAATGCAGCGTTTACACCAGAGCAAATGTGTAAACCTACTTGGTAATAAAACCGATTCTGTTTTCTGATTCTGATTCTGAATTAAGTCAAAGTCAAAGTCAAAGTCAGCTTTATTGTCAAAAATTCTACATGTGTTATACATCCAGAAATATCAAAATATCGTTTCCCGCAGTCCTACAGTGTGACATGTATACATAAAACAAAACAAAAAGGGCCTAGATAAACGGGGTATACATTTAAACAAAACAAAGAGCCTAGATAACCGGGGTATACAGTTTAAGATGATCATTTAGAGAGAAAATGACAAATGACATAGAGAAAAAAACTATTAAAGTATGAAAATACTAAAAGAAATGTTTGTGTTTAAAAGTAAATACACATACAGCTTTACAAGCAGTAGTTTTGTGCAGAAATCTTAACCAGAGAAAGTGCAAAAGTCAGCATATATCTGATGCCATTTAGAAGAGGCATTGCAACACTTCCTGTTAGCTAATCAGTAGTTGAATATAACTAAGTACATTTACTCAAGTAGGTATTTTACTTGAGTATTTCCCGTTGACGGTTCTCATTTTAGAAACACATTTTGTAATTTGTATTACATAGCTTTGTCTGACAACATCCAATAGCTACTTTGTAGATTCAGATTATTGATATAAACAGTAGACAAAATGGTATTATTATGGCAGCATAAGAAGCACTTTTGGCCAATGAATCCAATAATATAATATATTTTTCTAAAATGACCTTACTACATTGAATTGCTTATTACCCTAAATAACACTTTGAATGCAGGACTTTTACTTGAAGAAAAGTATTTCAACATTGTTCCTCCCATTCAACACTGAATTCAGTTATAGCTACTGGTTGCAAATGTACAAGCAGGGCCTTTTAGCAATAATAATTATTCGATAACAATTTATAAAAAGGGAAATAGGACCTTCAAAACCTTTTAAAGGCGTTTCCAAAATGCTGAAAATGAAAAAGAAATGACCTCGGTCATGTGAGTGGTATGTGGTTTGACAAGAATCACAACGTTTGACCGAAACCAAATTCGTTTTTGCCGACCTAATACAATTTAGCAAAGGAAACAGAGTCAGCATTTACAACCCACGCAGAAGAAATCAGACATCCCCAAAGACATCTGATCTGAAAAAGAGACATTGACATTGTAACCACTGTATGTCCACTGAAAAATGAAACAGGCATTTCAGACAACATTTCAAGTCCCTTTCTAGCTCCAAACGTTGTGTTTAAAATGGGATCTCAGGTATTTGAGGCAGAGTGAGACCTCTTCCTACCCTCTCCTGCTCTCTGCCCACAGGGGAGCAAAATAGGTTTTTATAAATACCCAAAACCCTGAGCAGAGAGTTCAGCTGACAGCCTGCACACACACTCCTGTGAGAGTTCAACAAGTGCTATAACCACACACTTTATTTTGATAGACAAAATATATATATAAAAAAAATATTCCATACTTACATTTTTTTTTATTTCCACTAACAGCACAAGCTAAAGTAAAAATAATACATTCAACGCATATGTTGAAAAATATATCATGGGTTGTAAAGCGAAACATTCAGAATGAAAGCAACAAGTGTTGAAGCTGTTTAGCTGCAGGCTCAGCTCAATCCCTCTCATGCATTCCAGTGCCAGGCACCCGTGACGTCACAGGGCCAACAGCCAATCACAGAATTCCGCGGTTGTTACCAGGCAGAGTCATCCATACTGCTTCTGTGCTGCGGCTGTCTGTATGCTGAGGACCAGCTTTGTGTCTATCTATTTTAGTGACTTGAGATATTTCACCTTTCAGAGACATTACAACTATTATTGTAAAATGTATTCATAGATATGGTGTGTTTACTTTCTTATTCATGTTATTGTAGGGTTGTTGTACTTTCTATTGTACTCAGGGTTTTAAAAAGAGGAGTTTATCACACTTATTAAATTATTATTTTAAGCTTAAGTCTAATTGAAGGATTACTGAATAACAACATGTATATGGTTTGCTCGTAGAGTTGTAGTTATACAAATCTGTCTATTAAAGTCCTTTAGTCAGTTATTTAGTTCCTATTTTTTTTAAAGAAGTGAAATCAAAATCTGTCTGCTATTTAAAAACTGGTTTCGTGGAGCAAAGACATTTACAAAAAAAATGTCATTGTGGTGCTGCATTTAAACAAATCATGTCAGAGTAAATCGGGCCATTCGGTCTACTGACCTTCAAAACAAATAACAAACGGGCAAAAGAACAATCTGTTTTTTATGTTCTTCACAAAATAAGAAGAAACATTTGTATGAGGTTTTTGTGCACTGAAATTGTCTGCAAAGGCTAAAACACCCCCCACCCGGTCCTGAAACGCCTCCATTGGACTCCGTTGTTTACTTCCTTAAGTTAGTGACATCACTATGCAACACCTATGCTTCTATTGGCTAGCGCTCCAACACATTGTACGTGATATGGTCTGCAGGGACATCTCTAAGCGGTTGACCAATCCCAACAGAGCTGGCCAGCTAACCAATCAGAGCAGACTGGGCTCTGGTTTCAGACAGAGGGTGAAAAGAGGTGCTGCAGCACAGGCAGTATGAGAACAATAAAGAGCTTTTTGAACATTAAAGCATGGACACATGTCACGAGGCACTAAATACAAATATGAACCTGAAAATGAGCAGAATATGACCTCTTTAATCCACACTGCCAAGCCCAATTGGTGTTAAGGTCAAATGATGCAGAGACGTCCGACTGATGTGTAATAATGTTGATGTCTGGCCAGCAGTGAGTCAACATCATTTTAGCCACAGCCTGAACTCTGCTTCGGGCTCTTCGCGGTATCATGACATGGCCTCACTTACCCAGTCAGCTGACGGAAAGAGAGGGAGAGGAAGTGCGAGGGAAGAGGCTGGCGGTGGTGAACAATGCGTCGTGTTTTTCCAGCGACGCCTCGGCTGCTGCAGGCAAATGTGCTGGAGCAGTGAGCCGTTTGCATCCTGAGCTTCAGGCAAATACAGTGAGGCAGAGGGATAAGAAAGGAGGTGAAATGCAGCAGGGTTAGAAGACAGGGAAGAATTCAGAGCATTTTACATGGTAGTTGCGTAGAGTTTCATCACTCTTGACTCCCTGAGCTGCTTTACATATGGTTACGGCCCACAGCTGTTTACAACCAAATCCAAATGTTGATTTAGAGGGATGTTTTTCCAGAACTAAAGCTTAGATTTAAGACACATTTAAAGCTGCATCCACTGCAACTCTCAATTTCCCCATTGAAACAACCTATTGGAAATACTGTAGTAATTAATAGTTGGAGGTAAATGGGTTACCAAGGGAAAGTCCGCGTACAGTATACACGTGAATTTTTTCTAAATTTCGCTGATTAGGCCTTTTTCTTCACACCCAACAGAGGTGTTAGGTCACTGGAAACAGAGCATTGTTTGGGTTGACTACAGGGATTCTTTCTTTTGTTTTTAGTGTGCACCATTATCTCCTTTAGGAGGTGTAACTACACCAGTGACTGGCCAACATGGTCAAATAAAAGATTTTCTAATGTGTGTTTTTACATGTTTACACATAAATGTACGGTGACTTTTCACATTATTTTGACAGAAATACCTGTAAACACGTGGACTAGGCCTAAGTGTAAATTCACTACGACATCACGAAGATCAGGTCATCTTTTTAAATTGTCCACTGTTTTGTTTTCATTAATCAAATACTTGCAGAACTAAACATTAAATCGGCCACAGCTGTACTTTGTGTTTACGGCTAATTAGCAAATGTTACATGATAACACGCTAAACTAAGGTGCTAACCTTTAAACCTGCTAAATATACCATGCGAACATGTGATTATGAGCATGGTGCCATACTGACGTTATATATATCCTTTATTTAAAGGTGGGGTATGTAATTTTGGAGAAACCAGCTTGAGTGCGCTAGAATTTGAAAATACACAACCGGAAAAAATCTGCCTCTTCCTTCAGACTTCCTTACAGAGCCCCTCCTCCAACACACACGAACGTGCACATGACCAATGAGGGCACGAGATAAGTTTGTGCACAGATGGAAGGCTGACAGGCAGGTAGGCCATCCAGTTATTTTAGCCGGGCCGGCTCAGATGATTGGTCGTGCTTTTTACAGCGCCACGGCTTCCACAGATGAAATTTTGTTATGTATTTATTGTCAAAGCATTTAATGTATTCATTGCTATCGGGATGTTAAGAGCATTCCATGGAATATAACAAGAAGTGTTTCTGAAGTGAATTACCTACCCCACCTTTAACCAGGTAAAAGTCTCATTGAGATTGAAATCTCTTCTTCAAGAGCGACCTGGCCAGCATGAACAAAGTTACAACAGATGAACGCAAAACAATACAGGCAGACGAATACAGCGGTCGTGAAACACAAATGAAATGGCACATTACCAGTCAATATGCAAATAAAAGAAGCTGTTATAAAACATTAAAACTGGCACCATTTTAAACGACTTCAAGTTAGTTGCTAGCATTGTAGTTAATAGGTAGAGGTGATTCTATGCTTCTTAGAATATTTGGCTTCTTTTTACTACATTTTTGCTGCGTAGAGCATCTTGTTTGAATACATGAGTCCATCATGGCTGCTGGTTCTCTGTGAAGCCTTTCTCCTAATGACCCTTTACAACCTGCAGCCCCCCCCCACCATAAATCCCCTCCGTCAGCTGACTGATCATCCTGTCGCCTCCCACAGCGCGGCGGGGAGCGGGAAATCCTTCATGTGATTTCACTTCCCAAATGGAAACACAAACAAGAGCTGACAGCTTGGACGATATTTCCCACATCATTCACTCAACACAGACGGGAGGAGTTACATTTTCAGCTCAGGGTCTCTGAAAACATCTGAGACACGGCTGCAGACTAGAGACATACTAATATATGTATATACCGATATATAATGTGTTTTTACATGTAGTTAATACCTCTTCCCATAAAAGGCATTTCCATAAACTCTTAAATCACACATCAAAAACAAAGAAAGCCCAAATTGAACTACAAGGAGATTTAATATTTGATGACAGTGAACACAATTATCACCATGTACGTTTTTGTTTAATCCCTTTTAAAACAAGAATCTAAAATATGTATTTAATATAAACAAGGAGAATCCCACAAATGATACCAATCCTTTTTGTTACAGCAACAAAAACTATCCCTTATATTAACCCCCTCTTAGCTCTGTGTTTATGCTTCAAACCTCTGAGACTTAGTGTGCTTCATTGGATCATTTCAAAGTGTTTTCACACATGAAAGGAAGTACATTCTTGCCTCATTTGTCTCTGTGTCTGTTCATTTGTGAAGCAGACTCATACCCACATGAGTAGTTGGTAAACACATGTTTAACTTGAGCAGGCCTTGTGTCATTTGGTGCCATGTTGTGTCAAAGTATTACAGCTTCTCAAAGACTTTCCTAAATTCTCTTTTCTTCCAAAATAAAAGCCCCAAACATTCACTGCTTCAAAACACCTGTTGACATAGAATAATCTATATTTATGGTAAACAAAGAATCTGACAATGAAAGCCATTTAATGCAGTGTTAGGCCAGGTTTGAATAGTCTTGTCATGTAAACAAGGCATTGCACATGAATACAAACAAATAGAAAGTAAACATTGGAATGAGCTGATGCATATCAACAGTGAAATATATACAGTATATCTACAGAGTATCGTTAATCCAACACACAAACTACAAATACAGAATAAGTTACACTATAATAAACCAACCTACTACTCACAAAATGCAAACATAGGATACAAAGGATAGTAAATATGCTATATATACTTGTATTCGGATACTTCTGTCACTTTTTCGTGTTTACTGGACTAAGTTGATGCTTAAGGCATCATGAGGACACTGGTATGCAGTCAGAATATGATACAACAGCAGAAGAGGTACTTATTCCTTTACATGTGGAAAAACTACTCTCTTTAAAGCAACCTGAGGCCTTTACAGTAAGTGCAATAGCTATAAAAAGCCTCCTCCTCTCAAAGCCTTGTGCGTCTGCATCAGACTGTAAACCTGTCTCAGGATATAAGACGCTACGAGCTAATGAAGCTCTGTCAGCCGTGTGTGTTTTTTCCTGATCAGCGGGGCTTTAAATAGCCTCCCTTAGGCCTCTCAGATGGGAGATCTGCAGACTTGGCTTCATGTCTGCAGGGGTCGACCCCATCAGTTTATTCAGCTTAGCAGTTTCACATGGGGGAGGAAGTCTCCACGATGGGAAACCAGCAGCGGGAAAAACTTAAGAGTTGGGAGGTGAGGCTGAGGTCAAACTGGAGCTCCAGGAATGATTAACCGTTTACAGTCCCAGAAGTCACGGTGACTGAAAATAACCTTCACTTCCCTCATCAGCAGATTTACTCAGAGGGCTTGTGGAGACTCGACACCCTGCTGCAGCTCCAGGGTTTAGTTTCTGATCTCCTCAGCAGCTGAGAAGTGGTGTCAATACTTCCTTAAACCTGCACAATATTCTGTCAACAAGCTAGTATATAGACAAGTATATAGACTTTGTGCACTACTTTGTATTTTTGTATTTTATTATATATGTTGGATTGTTGGAGGAGCTCAGGTCAG